AAACTGTAGTTCAGGCATGTGGAGAAATGATTACTATAATATCCAATTTAGTAATAATTAATTATGGTTATAATTATATAGGGTTACATTCTGTAACCTACACTCAAGCTGAGCATCTTATTTTAGTGTTCTGATTTCAGTGGAATTATGTGAGGAGTAAGGTATTTCTCAACATAAGTAAGTGTGGCAGAATTTGGCTCATAATTTATATCTTCAATGCACTATAAAAACACTAAGACAAATTCCTTGCCTTACACATAGAAAACTCCCATTGACTTCAGTGGGGGTTTTCAGACATAAAAAAGGAGTTGGCCCCTGAACTAATTTATTTTGGAGAAGGTTAGCTGTTTAAATGGTCAAGTTAAGACATAATTAGAGTTACACTGGTCTCTTCTCCTTAATTCAGAGTTCCCATGGGTCTGTTTATGAATCCCAGGAGGGGATATTTTGTTGCCTTGTTAGCCATAATTGCATTTTGTTAGCTAGACCATTTAAAAACAAGTTCTTTCCTAGCATGGCCTTTTTATGGATCTTGAATATTTGTGAGGTTGCACTATTCTTGCTCTAACTCAATTCTTTGTATATGAGAACTGTTTCTGATCAGCTACATTTCAACCTCCAAATACAAAATATGAACTCTCACTGTGGGTAAAATAACCCAAACGATCAATTGAGAGTATGAGAGTAGGAAAATATTTTAAAAGATACAAAAATAGAGTCCAAGTAGAAGTAAACATTCTTATCCTTTTAGTTTCATAATGCAGCATATGTACGGCTCATAAATTAAAGTAATAAAAAGCAGGATAACATCTGTTCTATAGTATGTGAATAGGAGAAAATTCGGACATTTGAGAAGTTGTTATACAGACATTACATTCTATATGGGTACATATGAAGAGTGTTTGTAGTGAAGAGAACTTCTTGATGCCTACTTGTATTTCTTTTTAAATGTAAACATCTGCTTTACGATTCTGGTAACACAAATACTGCAACTTTTGCTGCAATTTAATTTTAAAACCTGGATTAAAATAAACAGGCCTAAGTTTCTACCTGAAAAATCAAGGTGCGTAATTTTCTCAAATACCTTTCCATATCATATTTAAAAAATGTCTTCTGTGTATCCCCAAAGTCCTTGGCAGAATTTTAAAAAAATCTGAACTTCTGCTATGTAATTCAAATAAAATGTGTAAGAAATATATCTTGACCTGGCACAAGATTTTAAAGCTTCCCAAACTCTATATTCATTGTTGTCTTAGCCACTAATCATAGCTACTAATAAAATCCTATATTAGGCTGATTGCTTAATGATAGATCAAAGGTAAGAGGGTTTTTTATTCATATCTTCAGAGATGAAGGATGTAATTGAGTTCATATATGGGCTGTTAGGTAACTTGAATATTTACTTCATACTTAAAACTGCTTCCTGAGCTGGTGTGGTGGCTCTTTTATTCATCAGTATGAAGTTCAAACAGTAACACCGCTGAAAGAGAGCTATAAAGAGGGATAGATTGTGAATTCCTGCATCCTGATTACCCAAGATAAGAGGTACTTTGGGGTGGAAGCAAAGGTGATGAGAGCTAAATTAGCTGTCTTCCTGAAGATAAAAAGTTTGTTTCCTTAACAGAAAAGTCTAGCTAAGCAACTGCTTGCCTGCTTTCAAAGCTATAGGCTCAATGCAAAGCCATAAAGCACTCAGAAATGAATGTAGTATTCTAAATAAAGTACTGACCCTCAAAACAATAAAAATAAATTATTTAAACCAATACACGAATACATGTCTTAATGTAAATCTGAATTTGTGAATGGTTTCATTATTGATCTGCATAAACAAATACCTCCAGTCAGAGCAATAACTCATAACCCTTGTAAGTGCCTGCTTTACAGATGTGTGCATCATTGGTCCTTTGCCTGTACAGTTAATAAATATGAGTGCAGAGCAAGGGTAATTATGCATGTAATTATCTGCACGCATCATGAAAAAGTTGGAATGACTATTAGAACCTACCTTGCTAAGTCTCTTAGAGGATGAGGGTTTTTATAAATATTTGGCATGACATTGTACTTTTGATTTTATTAATTAAATAAGATCAAGAGTTTAAGAATAATTCTGTTGGCTATGGTCTCATTCTCTTCCTTGAGACTACCTAACAAGTTTCTTACTCCATGATGTGTCTCCTGTAATTTACCAGAAAGGAAGAGGCTAAGGGTATGTCAACACTGCCACCCTAGTTCGAAATAGAAAACAAACTGGGATATCAGAAAGGACATAGGTAGGGCTGAGAACTTGATGATACAGCATGCTGTCATCTCTCTGTAGAATCCTAACTTTTCATTGTTTAGAGCAATATTAAGAGTTGCATAGGAAATCTCAACTGTGAACCAAGTATAAAATGTTGAAGAAATGTCTGTTTGGAAATGTCAGAGAGCCTGGAATAATAGCTCAGAGAGGTGAACTGCTTCATTCACATCAGTGAGGTGTGAACTCTGATGTCTGGCCATGTTGATTTAAATGCCAGCATTGTTATCTATTTCATCCCTCATGTAAGAAAGAGAGCCATAACCCTTCACACTGCTGTGAGTGACATCGTATGTTAATGCCAATCACTGGTGATATTTAGGAGATACCACCACTGCCATTCTCCCTCTCAAAATCTAACAGAGACTATGGGAAAATTCGAGCCCCAAGGTGAAACCAAGATCCAGCTGCTCAGTGGAGCTTAGCTCATATGCACAAGCATATTTTAAACCTTGGAACAATTTGCTGTGAGTTGCATATCACTTTGACAACTCATATGGACAAAACTTGATGAGGAGAACCACCATCTCTCCCGTCCACGCCTCCAGACTGAGATGACCGTACTTAGATTGCTAGTAATGAGCTGCTCTCTCATCAATGCATCAAAGACTTGTCTTGTTTCCTGGTAGGAAAGAAAGGGTAGTTTTGTAGTTAGGGCACTGGAGTGAGAGTAACCTGATTCAATTCTTTGTGCTTCAGACTTCTGGAATGACTTTGGGCAAGTTACAGTCTCTGCATTTAGTTTTCATTCTGTGATAAGGGGATGATAAGACTTCCTTATTTAATAGTGATTTTGAAAATACAAATTCATGACTCTTTCTAGGCCATTAGGATACTTGAGTGTTGGAAACCAGAGAGATAGAAAATAGAGAAACACAGAATGTAAAGAAACATATTGAAATATAGCTATTATTATTCAGCATTATGATTGCTTCAGTATTAGACAATGGAGATATAATTTTTATAAAAACCAAATTCACTGTATCCACAGTGAACTATATGCACAATGTTTTCTTTCAAATTAGCTGAAATAGAGGCGACTTTTCAAGCATCAGTGTTCATCAGGCCATGGGAAAGCAGGTAAGTGCAATTTCACTAATCATTGCTCTGCTGCCCATGGACTGAAAATGAGTGTCAATTTTCTCTGGAAAAAGGGGGGGTTTATTAGCCCAATAAATCATCATTAACAGTCCTTGCATTTTTCTTGGGGCTGGTCATTTAATTTTTTTTCACTGCACTGACATAATTAACATTTGTGCATTCTTTATTTTCCAAAATATCTAACAACTTTTCATGACAAAAAATAAATGATAATCCTTTACATTTTTACTCAAAGTGCCCAGCTTGCTGTGTGAAAATGGTAGTCATACTTCTTAAAGATCTACTATATTGTTCAGTTTAAGAAGACTTCCACACTTACGCTACCACTTGGATTTTAAAAAATGTGGCCCCTTTTACATATAATTTCCTTGAACATATTTGACTTTTTTTTCTATGGGCAGTATGTTACTCTTATTATCTGCAGAAATATTGCCAGACTCGATCAGACCAAAGATCAAAGTAATCCAATATCCTGTCTCTGCCTATGGCCAGCACCAGAAATTTCAGAGGAAGAAACAAGAAACTTCTCAGCAGGCTCATGTAATATATCCTAACTCTTAATAGTTAGAGATTAGCTTAAACTCTAAAGCAGGTGCTGACGGGCCTGCTGCTGTCATTGAGGTCAATGGAAAACACTCCAATTGACTCAAGTGTATATGTCATGAAGCAGAATCATATTTAGAAACTGTAGATTCAATTATTCACCTTAAATTCAAAGAGTAACTCTGGTGTTTAAAAGGATGTGTACTCTGATATTTGCAAAGCATAATGGACACAAATCAGACATCAAGAATGGCAACACACATAAACCTATAGGGCAACATTTTAATCTACGTGGACACTCAATCATGGATTTAAAAGTAGCCATTCTTCTACAAAGGAATTTTACTACAAATTTACAAATTGGGCTTGAATAAAAATATTAATTGGTTAACACACCATAAAGCTAATTTCCCCTGCCTTTGACATTCACATTTTCACATCAAAAGCTATGAATGAGACACACCCAACCCATTTAATTAGCTTCATTAACACAGGTCCTACAATTGACAGGTAACTGCTCTTGCTATTACATATATCTTGGATTCTGTTATTTCCGCTTCAACTCATCTGATGAAGTGGGATTTACCCACAAAAGCTCATGATACTATATATTTTTGTTGGTCTCTAAGGTGCCACAGGACTACTCATTGTTTCTGATGTTTCTGTGAAAAGAGATGGGCCAGAGGCAGAACCATAAACAATCCTTCCCATTATCCAGCTCAGACATTGCGCATTTTGATAAATGACCTTTGGATCTAAACCACTCTTCATTTACAAAACCAAACCTTGATGAATGAGGTTTTGCAAACCACCCAGTTCTTGTTTGCCTTGTGAAACTGCTGTAAGAGACCACAATTATCAAGCAACTTCCTGTGACTACCCTCAAAGAAACCCTTCCCTGGACTCAGCAGTGCACAATTCTACTCCTCTGCCCATTAGCTGAGCCCCCACTGAGTAAATTATTAGTGCTCCCTTACTGCATAGTTTCCTAATGCAAGTCACTTTGTCACTGTGAATGAACTAAATATCAGGCCCAAACTGGCTCATCTTACCGAACCTACCGAAGCTCCAGTGATTTGGATACACTGAGATGAAATCAATGAAGTTCTTCGTTGTGGCTTGATTGCTATAAAAGCAAAATACACTTGATGAGGCTTTGCAAAGCCACCACTAGTTTTGCCCTATAACTGGTAGTTTTGAATCCTTTGACTCTGATTCAGCAAAGGACTTAAGAATTTGCTTTACTTAATAGTCACTGGGATGTGAAGATGTGTTTAAAGTTAAGAACTTCTTCAGTACTTAGATGAATAAAGATGATCTACAGAAACAAGGCCTAAATCACTCACAAAGTTATTATACGGTGTATTTAGAAGAAAATTTATACTTGGTTTTGTATATTTTATAAAGAATAAATCTTAGCATGAGCTAAACACTCAGTTTTTCACCCTATCATTTTGCTTTTAATGGGCTAGTCCTTACTCCGACAGAATTTCAATCTCCAATTTAAATCTCTGAATATTTTACTTGAATAAGGACTACAGAATTGGGCCTATCGTGTTTTAGAATGTTATACTTTTATGATCATCTAATTAAGCAAACTGGTTCATTACAAGCAACTCTAAGGTGCTAATTCAATTCCCTCCTGTAATTTTTTTTTCCAAGCTTGTTTACCTGTGAAGCCATGTGTAACTAAAGAAAATCCCCACAGCAAGTGGTGGGAGATAGAGGGGGAAGAGGCTTTCCTACTACATTTATTTAAGATTTAGTCCAAAAATCTCCAAGCCCCCAAGGTTTAATTATCGTGTGCAGTGTAGTGTTGAATAGGAAAAAGGGACTGTAGCAGGATGGAAAGATTTTCACACTGATATACCCACAATGGAACTGCACTGGGAGGTGGAGGAGGGCACAAAGGTTCTACATTCATTTGAAGTAAAGGAGGAGGAAAAAAAACTTTTAGAGTCTCAACACATTATGGGTGGAATTATAAATATTAAATATTTTCTTCATCTCTCCTGCGTGAAATGCATCCATGGGTTTATTACATCAGAGTGAACAAGCTAGAACCTCAGAAGTTTAGGTAAAAAAAAATCCCTACCTTTGTACTTATCTCATTTCAAGTTATGTTACTGGCTGGCAGAACTAAAAGGTGAAAAAGACCCCATGCTATTATTCACTTTACCACATGTGTGACCTGAAGAGGATTAAAGGTTTGTTCAAACTCTATTCATAGCATTCTTAAAGGCTTTTTTCAAAGAACTCTTTAAACAAAGGTTGCCAAACTAAGCACTTCTTTTGTTGCTGCTTAGCTGAGGCCTATTGTCAATTAGTAAGCAACCCTTTCAATTCCTTGTAATTGGGGCTTTCAGTTCTAATTACATTATATAACCTATAGAAAATGTGCATAAAATATAATCAAATAATACTATATCTATAAAATATCCATGGATGGAACATTTAATATAACATAGTGTTATAACAGGTGCCATGTTCTACCACAGACTTGGCTGAAATTTCATAGTACCTGGAGTCTCCAGGACTATAAAAAGCTTTGATGCTTGCAACTATAATATATAAATAAGAATCACAGTCAGAACTGGAATGAGTGCTGTGGTTAAGGCTGTTTCAGTCACTGATATGTTTTCCAAACTTTTATTTTTAGGATGAGATTTTTCCAAGGTTTCTCTAGGTTTGAAGGTGAATACTTTAGGAAAGTTTATAAATACATACTGTGTCCATGCTTGCAATCTTTCTTTGACAGGAAGATCTGTTGAAACAAAAAATTGGCATTTGGGAAGAAAAGAACCCTCATTGGGAAGAAATTTCAAGTGCTCTGGTGAAAATTCATTTTGATTTAACTGAGTTGTGGCCATTGGAAAAATCATATGCTGTGCACACAGTATATTTTTGCCTTTCTTGCAAAGTTAGCAAAGGATGCAGGTAAGGAATAATTTCCATATTGTGGAATTTGCACAACCCATCTCGATCAGCCGTAGATCCCCAATAAATGTATAGATACACCTTTCTTTTACATAGGAATGTCTTCAGATCTGGGGTTCCCTTATTTTAGTGCTCCATAGGATGGAAGGCTATGGCTGGCTGGATACTTGCGGTAGCAAACCTGGGGTCTAGAGTAGCTCAAGGGGCAAAAACAATGTAGCAATAGGACAGAAGAGAATTGCTCTGCAACATGCAAGCTGCCCTGCATGATTCCTGGGCTCTCTCAGAGCAGAAGCTTTGAGATCATGGAATTTAAAAGCTTTGCAGTCCAGGGATCTTCCCCATCTCCAACCCACTAAGGCCTGGTCTATACTAGACCAGGAAGATTAGCTTAAGGTATGAAACTTTTGCATATCTGGAGTTGGTTTAACTTAAGCCGAGCCGTGGTGGCATCTACACAGTGGGAGGCCCACAGGAGCAAATGTTCTCTTACTCCTTTCAGAAGGAGAAGTACTGGATGCTGGTGGGGGCTACCGTCAGCATTTGATTTACGGGCCTATACTAGACCCGCTAAATGGAACGCTAGAAGATCAACCTCCAGAGCATTGATCTTCTCATAAGTATAGTCGTGCCCCAAGTATCCACAAAAGCAGGCTCCCCCATCACAGAATCAGAAGCTGCAGTGGGGAAGAGCTCATTAGCCTCAGACCTTGACAAACCAAGGCTCCTTTGAAACACTGAAGAAACATTAAGGAACATTCTAAGTTTTGCTCCCTTGTGAACATACACAGCTAAAGTCACTGACTTGAACAAGGATATGCCAATTTACATCAGCTGAGAATCTGCCCCATAGTCTTAGGCATCAGATGCAAGTCTTGGCTTAGAAGCCTTTATAAACTCTGAGGGTGGAACATAGGTCTACTAGGAAAGTATATGGCACTTATGATAAGAGACCTAAAAGTTCTCTAAATTGCATAACCCGGCTGCTTGATCTCCATGGCTTTTCTTAAGCCCCACTAACCTTGTATGATTCTTTAGATTATAGAGCTCCAAAGCTCCTTTGTGCTTTTCCTCCTCCACACCAACTCAAAGTGAGAAGACTTGCAGAAATTTGCAGCTCTACAGGGATGCAGTAGCAGCTTTGGCCAAAGGCTACCACTGATGTTCTGGAGTTCTGAGGATGTTTAAGTGACTGCAGGAGGCAGGAAGTAGTAAGAGAATCATGCTTCAAAACTTCAAACTGTTGGAGGATCTAAATATCTGCAACTATGCAAAGCTATGATTATGCAGATAACCTCCACATTGCCTCTGTAATGACACCCTGAGAATAACAATCAACTGTGAGGCAACATTCGCCATTCACAGAAAAACAGCTCCTTTTACAAGTTACCACAAACTAGAATTCTTTTCACTGAATCATGTTGAACTCAAAGAGATTACTCTAAAAGTAAAATATCTGCATTGTTATGCTTTATTTTAAGGTCATTATGGAAATAAAAAGATGAAGATTGGAGGGTGGCTTTGGTAAAAATATATTTTTCAAATTTAATATTTTTGAATTGCTATCATCTCCAATGGACTTAAAACTTTTTAAAAGTGCTGCATTGCAAGATATGGGTTTCTCTGCATGGGAAAGTTTCACCACCTAGCCCTGGTCTACAACAGGGAGTTATTTTGAAATAACTCTCCTTATCTCAAAATAGCAAGTGGAGTGTCCACACTACCAAGATGGTTATTTCGAAATAATAACTCCTGCTTTCCATGAGGAATAATGTTAATTTCAAAATAGTTATTTTGAAATAGCAGTGGAGTGGATGCTCTGGTGTCACTGTTTTGAAATAACCACTTCCCAGAGTAAATCAAGGTAATTAGAGCCCCAGGAAGCACTGGGGTCTAAGTTGAGTTAGCGCCTCCACATTAATGGAGCCTGCCTCAAAATAATTTCCTAGTGTAGACATGCCCTTATACTGGCATAGTTAAAGCAATATAGTTATACTGGTATAATATCCATGCGGTCACTCTTGTTCTGGATTAACAGTGGCTTTTTTCAGTTTAGCTTAAACCCTTTCCAAAGTGATGTACACTAAATCAGAAAAAACACACGTTTATATTATAGAATTAGAGAGGCCACAAGTAGAGATATATAGGTCTGACTATAGCAGTTTAAATTCACACCTTTCCTTCTAGCAGTATAAAACTTTCTCTTGTTAACAAGCCCTATATTGGTGACAGGCCTCACCATTTTACCGCTTTGCTTTTATGATTATTTTGTAAAATGTTTGATTTGGCTTTATATAACAATGATGCTTCCTATTCGCTTATTTATGCATACAAGATATATTCTCAATTTTGCCAATCTGCATTCTTAATCTGATCTCCTCTGTTTTAACACTTTTTTGCTCCCTGAAAAATCACATTTTTTAAAAAAAGAGGCAGGGAGGAATTAGCTATGCTGTTACTGGCGAATTGCAAGCCAACTTAGCTGTTACTTTTGTCATTAATGTCTGGTACATTTTAGAAATATAAGCACTTTCTGTTTCAAGAGATTTATTTGGATAGTGAAAGGCTGTAAAAAAAGGAGGATCAGGGAAAAAAGATATTGATGTCATCTGCAGTTCTTTGTTTATGAAAACAACTTTCTCGCAGTTTACAGCTTGTCAGCACAGAGTCAAGTTGTGTTTTCTAGTCTGTCTTCATGACATGCTTTGGTCCACAGTGCCAACCCACACACTTTTCAAGCACGATTCTATAGGCTGTAGAACACTTATACCTTTAAGTTACTGCCAGTTTTTCTGCAACAATTTCTCTCAATCAAAAATGAACATTGCATATTGAAAGCTCAAGGTGCTGATACCTGCTAAATGGCACCACTTGTTCATTACAGCTGAGTTCCTAAGTAACCGTTTCAAAAGGGAAGAGAATGGTAACCAAGCTGGCAATGAGATTCCAATGGGTGGAGGTGAAGCAGCTGCCTTTCCATCTCTTGCTTCCCAGTGTTCTCATGTACTATGCTTTGTTGTTGCAGAACCCTCTTAAGTACATAATAATAGGCACAGCTTCAATCAGTTGTGACCTCCTGCTTGAGCTGGTGATTGGACAAATTGTTTACTTACTGCAGCTGCAGCAAGGATTTTATGGTTTGGGAAGAATAGCCAGTGTCCATACACTTTACATGTTCTTTGCTTCTCACAAATTTTCAGGAGTCTGTTCACAATTTAAAAGGAGCCAAGCTTTGCCCCCAGTGGTTAAAATTACCTCTGTACTTGGTTTCTCAGCTGCAGCATCTAGTCAAACAATTATTGGAGGTATTATAGGAATATGCTAACCTGTGAGCAGTCACAGCAGTAAATCAACCCAATTACTCTGTTTTTGCAAGAAAACTAATTTGCATATAATTTGTCAGAGGTATACAGTAATAATAAGAAGCAACGCAGGCATAATATGAGGTAGCCATTTGCCAGCATCCCTGGAAAATGCTGACTACCGGTACACTGCAATTAGACACCCAGGGCTGGCCTTGGGCTAATGGGCTTAGGTGAAGTGGCTGTTTAATTGCAGTATAGGGCTAGGGCTTCAGTCCAAGTGCTGGGTAGGATCTTCCCACAACGCTATGTCCTAGACCCCAGGCTCCAGTCTAAGCCTGAATGTAAACACTGCAGTTAAACAGACCTTTAACCAAAGTCAGCTGTCATGGGCTAGCTGCAGGTTTTTAACTGTAGTGTAGACATACCATAGATTACCCTATAACCATGCCAGTTGCCCTCAACGAAAGGACTGATGCCTCATAAAAATAATTTATATTAAAATGCATGTTATCTGGGATGCCAAATGCAAAATCACTAATATAATATAAAAATCCCAGTATTATTTTCTACAAATCCCTGAAGGGAATTGTCTACAGGCTACATTATAGTTTTGGAGGTTTGCAAGAATTACCGCCAACAAATAGTTTTGTTTCTCTTTCGATAGATATGCCTGTCATTTTTCTGTGGCAAACCTCATGTTGATTTCTCTAGGACCAAGAGTTAGACATTAGTGCTCCATCAGTGCTGATAAAGTGTGAAGATCCAGGACAAAAGTAAGAAGCAGCTTTGGATGAGAAAGCAGGCAAAAAGAAAATCAAGAGTATAATAATTGCTATTGGAAACTCGGAATCAGTTTGGGTAATAGTCTCTCCAGGAATCTACTACCTCTTTCTGGCACAATAAACAATCTGTGCATAGGTCACATCACACTATTTAGCTTTTCACTTTTTTTTTATAGCGAGATCACTTGTTTCTAGAGCTACTTCTTTTGCAGTCATTTCTCCAAGAGTGCCCTGCAGTTTATATCTAGGAGCATCCTAGAATTACTGAAAAAGTTTACTCCACAAAAGGAGATATAATTCATTTGCATGTTTATGCATATAATTACTGACCAGTTATGGTAACTATAAGGATTGTGGGCAGTAAGAGTAGTGAAAGTCTCATTAATTAGGTAGACTAAGTAATTTGTCCCCTATACCTTGGAACAAAAATAATATAAAGAGACAATGTTTCATGAATTAATTTTTGAAGCTTTTACTTTTTTGTCTTGAGAACATCCTTAGGGTAGCAGAAACCTTGTCTAGTGATGCATACGCATCAACCTAATATTGCTATCTCTAGCACCTTACTGCTAGCTCTGAACTGATCATCATTTTTAGACAGGTCTCCTTCCTGTGGGTCCATATACTGAAGTTGTCAATGTAGCATAAGTAGCATAAGGATGTTAGGTGGTGAGAGCTGAGGAAACAATAAAGATGTGAGCCATGCGGGTGCCCATAGTTGTGCTGCTGACTTGAAGATATAAATTGTCTCCAAATTTGAAATATTTTCACAGGAAGGAGGCACTTGAAGAATTCCACAGGGATTTTGACAACTTCTACCCCACTATCAGACTGGACCAGTCCTCTCAAGAAATCCACTTCCTTGACACTACAGTACACTTAAATAATGGCCACATTGATGGCAACTGCCAATTGATTGTTTCGACAAAAAATGTAGAAATGATCTATCTTGATATTTCCCACTTGTATCACTTTTCAGAATTTTCTGTTCCTGGAAAAAATAGGTATTTTAGAGTGTTTTCTTCCATTTCACAGCAGAAAATAATTTCAAACTGTCATAATTTCCTGTGAAAGCAAAATCCCCTTTTTGACCAGTTATAATTATCTCATTGTTACTTTCTGATAAACCCCAGAACAGCAATCCCAAAATACAAGGCAATTGAAACAGGGCCCACACGTGGGGTGGTCAGTCAAAACATGTCATAACCATAAACCAGTTAAGTGAGCAACAGTCTGAACACAACATAACAACAGTCCAAATGATGCTACTGTAGCAACAGGCCCTGAGAAACTTAAAGACACCATCCTAGAAGACAGAGGAACAGAAACCATAAAAATGAATTCAAGAAGCAGAACAAGGAAACAAACAAGACAAGAAAAGAAAGTAATAATCTAGTAGGCAACAAATGTGCACTAGACATATATTGCAACAGAATCTAGCTGTCCCAATTGAGGTGCTAGATGCTGTACATATATAGAGAAGTTGACAGTCCCTGCCCCAGACTGCAGACAATCTATACAAGAAGTTATATGATTATTCCCACTTTTTGGATGTAGAAGTGAGACATTACCTGACTTCTGAAGGTCACACAGAACCTTTGTGGCAGAAGCAGGAACTGAACCCAGTTTGCCTAACCCCTACTAATGAGCTTTAACCACACTAAGGGTATGTCTACACTACCACCCTAGTTCGAACTAGGGTGGTAATGTAGGCAACCGGAGTTGCAAATGAAGCCCGGGATTTGAATTTCCCGGGCTTAATTTGCATATTGCCGGGCGCCGCCATTTTTAAATGTCCGCTAGTTCGGACTCCGTGCCCGCGCGGTACACCTTGTTCCACGAGGAGTAACGGTAGTTCAGAATAGGAAGCCTAATCCGAACTATCTAGTTCGTGCCGCGTGTAGCCGCGGGCACGGAGTCCGAACTAGCAGACATTTAAAAATGGCGGCGCCCGGCAATATGCAAATGAAGCCCGGGAAATTCAAATCCCGGGCTTCATTTCCAACTCCGGTTGCCTACATTAACCACCCTAGTTCGAACTAGGGTGATAGTGTAGACATACCCTAAGTTAA